GGAAAGAAGCAAGCATGCACCTTCCTGACCCTAACCAAGGCAGGAGGAACAGGTCAGAGGAAGCAAATGTCATTTTCTGGAAGGAGAAATGGTAGACAGAATCCGTTTGACTTCAAGAACTGATGGGCAGGAAAATAATAGGGAGCCAGTTTGGACTCATAACACAGAAGCCCTCTCAAACTGACGTGTCCAAAGTGTGAAGCAGCTCTGTGGTGGGTAGAGAGATCCCTATCACAGCAGGAACAGAAACAGAGACTGGCTGGCCTTCTTGTTAGTGCGGATTGCAGATCCCATAGTGGACCCTTTACCTCTGTCACTTTTACTCCTACCCTTTAAGAGAACAATCCTGACATGTAACTTGCGTTTGAAAAAAATGAAGCCATGGAAGAATAATGACCTGTTAGTCATCCACTCATCCATCCGTTTATCCATCCATCCATCCATCCATCCACCCACCCATCCATTTGTTCATCCAATGCATTTCATTGAGTACCAGTATATGCTAAGATCTGGGAATAATACAACAGTGCTCAAAATAAGCACAGTCTTTGCACTTACGTCACTTAGAGTCTAGCAGGGAGATAGACATTAAACATGTAAGCAGACTATATATATACACACACACACACACACATATATATATGTATTTGTAAGTTGTGATGAGTGCTATGAAAGAAAAGTACAGGGTTTAGTGAGAGTGGAAAGTTGGGGATATACATTAAAATAGAGGTCAGGATGGTCTTCTGAGGATGTAAGGTTTAAGATGCCATCTTAAAGATACTTATCTGTTAACATATTTATCTGTTAAGGAGACACATATGGAAGCCAAAGCATTTCTGAGAGAGAGCAAGATGAGCAAAGGCCCCAAGCTTGGGAGGAGTTTGATGTGCTTGAAGAACTGAAAGAAGACCAGCATGCCAGAGTGTAATACAATAATAAAAGGATAGAAGCTTAGAGGAGGCTGGAGAGAGGAAGGGGTCAGATCATGCAGACAAGACTAGTGGAGTAAGGCCTGTGGGTAAGAAAAAGTAGCAAAATGAACAGATGAGTGCAGGAAGGGAGTCACGGGGAGAATTAGGAAGACAGAACATCAATGGGTAAGAGAACTTGGATGGAACTGGGCATCAGTTTCTCAAAGGGGGATTGACCAATGTAGTTCTAGAATTGAACGACTAGGTCAGAAACAATTTTCCCTTGGCCTGCTCTGTCTCAGCCAGAGGACATGAATTGAGATACTTGGGTACCTCCTTTAGCAGCTGCAGTCTGGGGCATCTTCTACCAGATGGGATAATGTACCTCCCATGGGAAGGGTTATTTTCTCTCTACTTGAGCATTAGCACCTCTGAAGTCTAAGTCCCTACCCCAAGCTTCCACATGCTCCATTTTCTCAAGGATCACCTTGAGCACCTGTGGCTAACATCTTCAATCTGCTGCCTATGTTGAGCCCATCCCTCATCTTCCAAAGGAAGGCTATACACTGTTAATGGTTCTAAATGATTCCCCTGCTCACTCACCCTTTCTAACATTTCCTGTTTTAATGATAAGAACAAAACCTGACTTTTAAATTGCTCTTTTTTGCTCTGTGGCTTTCTATTGTCTTCCTTTCAGAGTCTGAATAATAGTTTTAAATCCAAACCATCACTTAATGCCTGTTTACCTACTGGTTGCAGTTTTCTCTCTATGGCTCTGATCAGATCGATTCCCAGGTCTAGAGTGTATCAAGCAAAGTGCTCAAAATGTCTTTTAGCTCTTATATTCAAGGCAATTCCCTTGCTTTTTGCTACCCTAATCAAATGTCCTTATTGGATTAGGTGGTAGTAACCTCATAAAAAGGGGAATTTTGAACACAGTCAAGCACACAAGGAGAATGTCATGTGATGGTAAGGCAGTGATCAGAGTGGTGCTTCCAAAAGCCAAGAAATGCCAAAGATTTGCCAGCAAACCACCAGAAGCTAAGAGACACACATAGAACAGATTCTTCCTCACAATACTCAGAAGGAACAAAGTATGCAGACACCTTGATTTCAGACTTTGGACCTCCAGAACTATGAGAAAATAAATTTGTGTTATGTAAGCCAACCAATTTGTAGGACTTTGTTACAGCAGCCACAGGAAACTAATACAGGTCCATTACTTTGCAACCCTCCAAGCTGGGCAGTACTAAATTAGATCGAGTTACTAGTAGCAACGTTACAGAAAGGAAAGGGTTGGAGACACACACTGGAGCCAGGTGTGTGTCTAATATTCTTGTGTAAGGGGCACTAGGCTTGGGGTCAAGTTAGAATGATACTGAATGAGTGCTTAGGGCTGTTACAACTGGCAACCATCTGGTCATAGACACTGGCTGGACTCTCCCGGGTCAGGGACCAGACAGCAGCAAGTTGCTTCATCACCAGAGTACTGGCCTCGAGTCTGACATATGAACTTCAGGGTCTGGATGCCTTCCATTAGACCCATGAAGCAGATGCCATGATGACAGAGAGAGGGAAGAGCCTTGGGGGAGACTGATGACCCATCTCTGGGACTTTGTATCCTTCCAAAGTCTGTGGGATTCTCAGTATCTTCCTCTGTTAAAAAGAATACTGTTTTCAGCAAGTCTGCCTAGAGGAAATTTGATCCAGGTGGTCAGGAAGGGATGGGATAAACAGAATATTGATTCCCAGCTTTACGTTCTTGATACAAACTCCTCACAGGCAGTAGACAGATTTATAATAGATAGGGTTTGCCTTTAATCAACCCTCGATACTCTAAGCATAGTACCAGGCACCAAGTAGACACTCATCAAACACAGGTCTGCTTCCCTTTGTCCTACGCTCCCCAAGCATCCTTCTAACCTGATGTGGTGAGAGGGGATAACTGAACAGTGTCCAACTGGCATTCTGTACTATCTGGTTCTCTGCCCCATTCCCAAGTGCCACTGGAGCCCCATTTCTTTGGGCTCAAGTGTTGGATCTCACCGAATTAGAAAACCAGGATGTGGATGCTCAGATTCCCCAATACGCTGACCTCTCAGAAGCCTGCCTGGGCTTGGACAGCCGGGCATTCACACTCATTCATGCATTCCTGTCCTTTCACACATGCTCACTTTACCTGCATACACACTCCATTCACTTAAGGAAAGATGGCAAAAGATGGTAACCTAAAGCTCAGGCAAGAGGGGAAGCCCTTATGCTAAGGAGAGGGAGAGAACTCTTCTGTCTGGTTCTTTAAATGTCACTGCAATTCTCTTGCACATCAGCAATGCAACTCTAGAGAAGCCCAGCAGGGTGGGCTTCTATGCCTCTGAGGACTGCAGTCCTGAAGTTTTCAGGAGAGTATAGTTTTAGAGATTCTCCCACTGTCCCCGTATGTTCCTACTGCTTGTCAGGCCTCACGTTTTCAATTCTCAGTTCAGAAATTATGACCCAGGCAGCTACCCTTTCATAGAGCTTACATCCCAGAGGGTGTCCTTAGAATCCCGCCTACCCCATGGAGTGCAGATCCATTGCATCCATCTCTCCTGGTCTATGAGTCAAAAGCCACTGAGGAACCATAGAGCATACCACAGTGAAGGAGGTTTGTCTGTGAATTTCCTTCCCGCTACAGCTGCTTTAAAGCAGGCTGCAGAAACCCAGCTATCCCGACTGCTGTCTAGAGCCCTAGTGCTACCCAATTGATGGTGCTCTTCCTTCTACATTATCTGTTTTCTTCAGTGGAAAAGTCTGCCAAGACCTGTGATTTGTGTCACTTTTGTTTGCAGGCCATCAATTCTCCTTGCCTCGCAGAGAGTATTTTATCTCTTTCCATCCAGGAGCCTGAGTTCCTGAGAGGGAACAAGTTAGGGACATGCCACCCTCTGTGACTTATGTGAAATTGGGGTGACTTCTTATCACTGGGAGCCCTAATGCTTCTGTTTTCTTCTTCCTCCTGCATCTTCTCTCTGGTGCTTAAATATTGGGTTGATTTTATTCAAAGTTATAAAAGTCATGCGTGATGGGTCTTGGTGCACATTTTGTCAAGTAGCTGTAGATTTTTTTCTCTCTTTTTCTCCCCACTCTGCCCACATGTGTGTGTATGTTCCTCTGTGTGGTTTTGTCCATTGTGCATGTGTCTATATATTTACACATATACACATACATACTTGGGTCATCACTTTTGTCTGTACTTTACATCTATGAGTACATGCCTACTTATGTTTACAACTTTTATCTCCTTGGAAGCAGTCTATGAAACTATATATGCCGTCAGTAAATTCAGGGAACAGAGTAGAATTGTCCAATTTTTGTGTGTGTGTATGGGGAGGTTTGCTGTTAAAAACATCAACTCTGTAACAAAAAGATAAATCTGATTTCTAACTATTCAACCCTGTAATAGGTTAAATGATAGCGAACGATTCATTGATTTTGTTTTTTAAAAAGAGTAATAAACAGAAACATGTACCAATTGAAAGAGCCAGGCAATTCAATTATAATTAGGAAAACAAAAGTGATGAGCCTGAACAATGCTGCCTTAGTTTCGGGGATAAGTGTTGAAAATGCCAACTACATAATAATGCAGCATTTGTCTTCTTATTACTAAAGGCCCCAGTACTAATCACCTCATTTTTGAAAGCCGTGTACCAATTGAACGAAGTACAAAACTCAGTAGATGGGTCTAATAGACATGCTTGAAAAATACCCACATAAACATAGACCTAAATATAAGAAAAACATATATGAAAAGAATATTTGAGCAAATTTATATCCATCATTCCACTGATCAATGTACCAGTCCATCCTTATATAGATTCATCCACCCATCCATCCATTCGGTAAATATGTTTTAAACTTTTACTCTGTTTTACGCACTGCGCTACTAATATACACCCTAGAAGGTAGGTTCTAGATGCAAATGACTCCAGTGAAAATAACAATTCTTTCTGGTTTTGAGTTATTGTTGCCTAACCTTTCTCTGTGTGGCTAGAAAGAAACACTTAAATGATTGAAGAACAGGTGAAGACAGACAAGCAGATGCCAACATACCTTTTGTAGCCAGACGAACACAGTTGATTTTGGTCTCCTGTGAACAACAAAAATGAGGTGGCAATTAATTAGCTGTGAATTATGTAAAATTATTATATAAAGACAAATACACATATATATTTGCATATATATGCATGCATATGTATTTTTAATTATAATTTTAAATTTGCCCTTTCCATTTTTTCCCCCATCGGATCACCTTTTAATTCCATTTTTTAATTTTTTTCTCAGGGTAGGTACATATGTTATTCAGTTCACTTCCTGGCTCCTACCATCTCATAAACCTCTTTCCCAGACAAAACCACTTTATAAACATATCAGATAATTCCTAGCACTCATCATCTTCAACAATAACACTTAGTGGGTACCTGGGGTATGCAGTGTGCTTTGTTCAGTTGCATGACTGAGCAGATGGAAGCAGGGCATCCTTGGGAAACTTTGTTACCAGCAATAGTGCATCTAGATGCATAGAATGAAGAGATACTTGGCAATAGTTCAGTCTATATGAAACGTGCCAAACTCAAACTGCAAAGTTCATGTTCAAAAGTTACTTTTCCCCTGAGCTCTTGTGTGGGCCTCGCAGCCTTCATAAATAATGTGTGTGGCAATAGAATCTTTGCCAGGTGAACTATCTAGTTGTTGTTAGCTGTTTCCAAAGTAAAAAGGATCCATAAATGTGTGATGTTGCTGGGCACGCAGTGGAGTTAATGAAGTGTGCTTAGGAAGAGAATTATCTCTGCCCATTTTACTGGGATTCATCTTTCAGGAGGTCCTGGAGCCAGTTGAAAATTCCAGTTGACTAAATTATACCCCCAACAACAGTCTGAATTCAGTGTAGCAATAAAAGTAAAATGCAAAGAATGCAAGTATGTGAGTTGCTGAACCAAAAATCTGTCAATAATCCAATTCTTGTCTTGCTGCAGCTCATTCACAAAGAACCACTGCATCTTGAAGGCAGTGGTGGCAATCAGGATAGAAAAGGTTAGGAGGCCATAATAAAACCCATGAACTTCAGTGGTTAAAAATAGCAAAGGTTTATTTTCCATTCAAACTACCTGTCCAATGTAGGTGTGTGGCTGAGTCTAAGGGGTGGGAGTGGGGGTGATTGGGAGACATTCTGACCATTGTAACCACTCAGAGATCATAGCTGGTATGTCCATTGTAACCCAACGGGAGAAAGAGTGCTAATGAGTAAAGCACTATCAATCAAATGCTTTGAATCAGAAGCGACACTTTCAGTTCTATGCATGTTTTATTGGCTAGAACCTAATAATGGCCATGCCTAATTTTAGTGAGATGGGGAAATGGAATCCTCCCATGTATCCAGAAGTAGAGAAGACATGACAATATCTACAGTAGATTCTATTCCAACTAGCAATGCTGGAAACGATCACTTCTATTACGTCCAAGTATGACTCCCCATAATTAATCTCATAGTTATCGCCAATAGTCTTCATTCTCTTCCTCAGAAGGCACAGAAAGTCTGCTTTTGCTTGTGTAAAAAAGAGGTCTGGATAATGAAATATGGTTCTCAGGCTCATAAACATTCTTCTTCATCAGTTCCTCATATTGTAAGAGTTCAAGTCTTTCGAGCTATCCTAGCTGCTCATTCTAGGACAAACACCACTTTGTCCTCTTAATGTGCAGTGACTAGAACACAAAACAGCAGTCTATACATGTTCTTATTGATATATGATTATCTAGACTATCACTATTATCCTTACTTATATTGGGCTTCCATTAACATAGGCAACATCTTAGTGTTTATCCATCTCCCCTAAGCAAAAATAAAAGTATTGGTTATAAGTCTGCCTCTACATGTACGAGTGTGACTCTATTTTTGAAACCCAAGTACAGAGTCATATTTACCACTACAATTTCCATCTTTTTCAACTGATCCAAGTACTACAACCCATCATTACAGTCTCCACAAGCTGAAAAATTTTAGAAATCAATTTTTTCTTTAATTTCATCCAGATCATTAATATAAGTAACAATCTGGATAATGTCAATGGTAGAACCTTATGACATGTCCTAGATTCCTTCTTCCAGGTTGACATTCATCTGTTAATCAGAATCTGAACTAATATCATAAACTGCTTATGCATTGAGCTTGAGAATAGGTTCACATTCCTTTTAGACACTGATACTCTGTCTACTGCATTTCTCCAATCAGTGCAAAGACTGTCTTAAAGAAAGAAGGTTGGGTTGACATGACTTGTTCTTTGGAACAAGTGTTTTCTTATTCGTAAATACTAAAAGTGTCTCTCTTTAAAACAAACAATTATTTCCTTTTATAAAGTAGATAATTCAGAAATGTTAAAAAACATGACAAGTCATGGTTCAAATATATGAATCATTCATATAAAATCTTCTCACAAAATTTGAAGCATGTTATGTTTCAATAACAAAGTTTTTTAAAAGAACATACCCAGAAGATGAAAGAAAAGAACAATGGTGGAGAAAAAAAGTAATAGTAAAGGATATTGCTCTAAATGAGATGTACAAAAAGCTTAAGTTACACGTTAAATCTTGCATATGACAATTAAAGTGAGCAAACTCATTTCTGTTTTCATGTTTGGACAAAGCTTTTAAGCTCCTGTTGGCTTCCATTCCAACAGCACCATACTCTGTGTTTTGGTTTAAAGAGCTTGAGATGGTTAAATAAAGCATGAAACCCAGAACACTGAGGAAGACATGCAAATGATTGTGCAGTGTCACAATGACTATCATTGAGAAATTGTGTAGACTGGGAGAGGTGCCAGCAGACTGTAGATGGTTAGAATGATCTTCCACTTCCTGGTAATACAACAACAACAAAAAATGATTTTGAAAGTAATATATTAGAAAACTTGCCAATTCTGTGCATGATTGTCGAATACAGCAGAGGGCAAAGGTTTGATGAGGCTAATACTGCTGAGAGTAAGGTGTAAATACGTATCTTCACTTTAAAGAAATTCAGTCTTATCTGTCTAGATATCTAAGAATCTTTTCTCAGGGAATAACTTTAAATATAAATGAAGCTTTATATTCAAAGATGTTGGTTCCAGTGTTCTTTATAAAAGTGAAAATCATGAGCGATGTATCTGTCTAACCACACAGGCATGGCAAAGAAAGCTGTGGTCTCTCTTATTCAACACAGTACTGGAAATCCTAGCCAGCGCAATTGAGCAAGAGAAAAATTAAAGGGCATCCAAATTGAAAAGGAGAAAGTCAAAGAGTCTCTGTCTGCACATGACATGACCTTATGTGTGGGAAAAACCCAAAAACTTTACCAAAAAAACCCTCCTAGAACTGTTAAGCAAATTCAGTAAAGTTGCAGAATACAAAATCAACATACAAAAATCAGTAATGTTTCTATACATGAACAACAAACTACCTAAAAAAATACAAAAATCAGTAATGTTTCTATACATGAACAATAAACTACCTAAAAAAGAATTGATAAGGGAATCTCATTTACAATAACTACCAAAAGTAACAAAATACTAGAAATCAATTTAACCAAGGAGGTAAAAGACCTCTACAAGAAAAACCAAAAATACTGTTGGCAGAAATTGAAAAGGATACAAGTAGAAAGATATCCCATGCTCATGGACTGGAAGAATTATTATTGGTAAAATAATCAGACTCTCCAAAGTAATCTCCATCAAAATATCAATGGCATTCATTATAGAAATAGAAAGAAGTCCCAACATTTGTATGAAAACTCAAAAGACCACAAATAGCCAAAACAGTCCTGAGCAAAAAGAACAAAGCTAGAGGCCTCACACTAACAGACTTTAAAATATACTACAAAGCTGTAGTAACAAAAACAGCATGGTACTGGCATAAAAACAGACACATAAACCAATGAAATAATATTTTTAAAAACCCCAAAATTAATGCACATATCTACAGTCAACTTATTTTTGACAAAGTCACCAAGAACACTCACTGGGGAAAGGACAGTGTCTTCAGTAAATGGTGTTAGGAAAATCAATCATCCATATGCAGAAGAATGAAACTAGACCCCCATCTCTCACCCTATATAAAAATCAACTCAAAATGGGTAAGAGACATAAATGTAAGACTTGAAACTATAAAACTGCTAGAGGAAAACATAAGGGAAATGGTCTGAAACCAAACATATGACACTGATCTAGGAAAATATTTTATGAATAAGACCTTAAAAGTATAGGCAATGAAAATAAAAATAAACAAGTAGGATTATATAAAACTAAAAAATTATGTACAGAAAAGGAAACAATAAACAGAGTATAAAGGCAACCTACAGAATGGAAGGAAAGTATCAGCAAACTATTAATCCCTCAGGGAATTAATATTCAGAATATACTAGGAACTCAAACAATTCAACAGCAAACAAAAATACAACTAAAAAAAGAATGGGCAAATGATCTGAACAGACATTTCTCAAAAGGAGATACACAAATGGCCAACAAATATATTTTAAAATGCTCAATATCACTAATCATCAGGGACATGCCAATTAAAACTACCATGAGGTATCATCTCACCCTTGTTAGGATGGCTATTAAAAATAAATAAATAAATAACAAATGTTGGTGAGGATGTGGGGAAAAGGGAACTCTTATACACTGTTGGTGGGAATGTAAACTAGTTAAGCCACTATTGGGAACAGTATAGAGGCTCCTCAAAAAAACTACAAATAGAACTATTATATGATCCAGCAATCTTACTACTGGATACTTATCCAAAGGAAGATAAATTAGTATATTGAGGAGACATCTGCATCATGTTCATTGCAGCACTATTCACAATAGCCACAACAGGGTATCAAACTAGGTGTCCAAAACCAGAGGAATAAAGAAAATGTGGTATATATACAACATGGAGTACTATTCAGCCATAAAAGGATAAAATCCCATCATTTGTGGCAACATAAATGGAACTAGAGGACATTACAGTAAGGAAAACAAGCGGTAAATAGAAAGTTAAATACTTCGTATTCTCACTCATATGTAGAAACCAAAATAAGTTGATCTCATAGAAGTAAAAAGCAGGACAGCAGATACT